CTATAGCAGACTCCGACCACGACATCACCCTTGTTGCTCACGCTTCTCAACTTTATCCAGAGACTCTCATGTTTTTCTGTAGTTTCATACCGGAGCTCTGAGCAGTCATACTCCTCTCTTACATACAATGCAATTTCCCCACCTTTTCTTCCCTGCCTGTCCTTCCTGAACAGTTTATATCCATCCATGACAGTACTCCAGTCATGTGAGTTATCCCACCAAGTCTCTGTTATTCCAATCGCATCATAGTTCCCTGACTGTGCCAGGACTTCCAGTTCTCCCTGCTTGTTTCCCAGGCTTCTTGCATTTGTGTATAGGCACTTAAGATAACTCATCGATCGTCCCTCTTTCTCAGTATGAGACAGGAGTCCTCCCCTCTTGTGCTCTCCTGCTTGTGCTTCCTCCCAGGATCCTATTTCCCCACTTACCTCAGGGCTTTGGTCTCCTTCCCCCAGTGAACCTAGTTTAAAGCCCTCCTCACTAGGCTAGCCAGCCTAAGGATGGAAGAGGGTGGGATATTTCCCAGGGAATGCTTTACTGGTAAATGATGAACTAGCATTCGGCTGAGTCCTCAAGGGTTAACACATTGTTAATGTAGCCTCACACTTTACAAGGCAGCACGAATGGAGGGAGGGGAGACAGCATGGCAGACAGAGACACACCCTGTGTGTGTGAGAGAGAGAGAGAGAGAGATGCGCATTGCCCCTTTAAGTACGCTTACACCACTCTAAATATATTGCCTTTTTAAGTAGATCAGGAAGTTGAGACAGCAGCTGCAGCCAGCAAGCTCCCTCTGTTCCGCTCTATATGGAGAAGCGGTAAGCAGGGGGGAGGGACACACCCTGACAGCCCCCTTCTTCCCTCCCCTTCCCCTCCCCCCCCACACACAGCAAGCAGGAGGCTCCTGGGAGCAGTTCCAAGGCAGAGGGCAGGAGGAGCACATGGCTGTGGGGGGAGGGACAGCTGAACTGCTGGCAATTGGTAGCCTGCTGGGAAGCTGCCAAACAGGGAACTTAGGGGAGCTGATAGGGGGGCTGCCAGTCCACCCTGGTTCCAAGCCCCCACCAGCTAGCTGCAAAGGGCTGCTCTTCCTGC